GCTAGTTATCATCGTCAATGTGGCTGAATGCGATCACCAAACGCTTACTATCACCGTCAATTCACTATCAATTCATTATCTCGATCTGCTGCGCATTCTAATCGCCACTAATTTTCATCCGTTCACCTCAGCGGCCATAACGTTCACTCATTCCAATGCCACTTCATACCGTCGTGACAGCGCCGCCAACAAGAATACTTATGTGCTCTCGAATAACTTCAAAACATTGCGTCGAAAGGACATTCCCGTCACATATCGTTTACATGATGACTTGTTGCGCAATTATCGCAAAGGCACAAGACCAGTGACGCATCCGAATAAAACTGTCACTGTAGCGATGAGTGTTTTCCTTTATCAGATCATTAAACTGGTACGTCTTCAGTTGTTTTTTTTTTCACGTCTTCATCTCGTTTTATCCTTATAGTTAGTGCATTCCTCTCAGTGATTCTACTCTTTCCGCGGTTGATACAAATTCATTGATTAGTTTTTAGAAAGACATAAAGACGTAAGTCTTGACATTAGCTATAAACTTGATTATTTTACAAGGAAAGAATTAGATGCTGCACGTTCACTTAAGTTTACCTCATGAACTGGTCTATTAGTTGATCATTTGCGTGTGATACTCATTCGAGCACCTATCATAAGTGTCCATAAGTGGTTCCGCAATAGCTGGAGTGTAAAACGAAGAGCATGCTGAGAATATTCTTTATTGCAGGATGCAGTCAAGAATACAATCAGCTTATCGGGCAGTTTTGAATTGGTGAGTTCACCGAATTCGTTGTTCGCGACACGCACTATCACAATGTGATGCAAAACAAACTAAAAAAGTTTCGAAATCATCTAAAATTGCGCTAAATAGTCGATAGTTTTCACATATCGTTTACTCCATTTGCTGGTACGTCCCGATGCATATTGGACGATTGCTCGTTCCAGCAAACTGTTCTTATTCAACAGCTTGAAACTTCGCTTTGACTGAAAAAATTCATTGTTCTCAATTCATAAATTCTCATTTCATTGTTGTTCAACAGTTAAACGCCCACGAAAGTGGTATTCTGAACTCAACGAAAGCTTCACTCACTCACATAAAAACGGTCTCAACGGTTGGAAGATCTCTTAGAAAAAGCACATGAAATGAGAACATTGTTAATTCTCTAGAGTATGCTCTCGTTTTAGACAACTTCTTACTGAAGGAATGGTGCATCCGAAATGTTGCTGTCTTCATTTCGCGCATAATTCATCAATTAAGAAGCAAATGTAGAGTTAAGGTTTGACTAAATGCTTTAAAGAATTTTTACTTTTTGGTTTTGGAGGGAATTAAAAGTTACCGAAGTGATCATCGAGTGATGCAATGGCCCGAATATTGACTTGATATATTTTAGTTCGAGCACAATCTCACGCCCGTGCAGTACACCTTCTTCGATTGTTATGAGACCTGAAACTGTCCTCATCGTGCCAATGTACCGTATTGAACCAGAAATCATTGCCCTGCATAGCGTTATCCCACTAACCTGTATTGCTGACCATTTCGATGGCCACCTGATCGGTTCCGTTTTTGGGCTTATCAAACTCAATGAAGCCAGTATCCTCCAGGAACGGTTTACCGGTCATGAATCCAAGCTCACGGCTCACATCGCCGTCCTTCGTGAATGCAGTCACCCTTTAAAATATGCCTTCTTCTGAATTCTTTCTATACAAATACTCTTTACAAGCTCACCGATGCAAATTCATTGTTTTGCAAGCAAAACACTTTCATTTCATCGATCTATTATTATTCATCGATGAATCAATCCTTTAGTCTTCAACCTTCGACATCCAACCAAAAATCAGTAATTCTGNCACTTCTTTCGTTGGTATTATTTTGAAGTTTACTTGCCTAATGTTCCAAAAGGACATTAAGTTATTTCACTATAAAAGTCATTCAAATGTTCAAACTCCCTAAAAAAGATTACTCCATCAAAAGAATACGCCTAAAAGTTTGTGTGTAAAGTGCATTGGTTATAACTTCTTATTAACTGTATCGAATTACTTTGATATCAATCGAATTTCATTCTGTATTCAGTGGCATTCCTTTGGCTCATAAATTCAAAAACGATACTTATTGTTCAAGATATTTTCTGTGATGCACTTTTGATCTGCGCAGATGAAACGGGATGTTCATGCGCCAGATGACTATCACAAACAAAATCTGAGGTGTTCTTTCTGCTGGTTGCAAGGAGAGAACTTACGAGACATTAACCGGTGGCCTATCGAACATGGGCACTTCTGAAATTGATATGTCCAGAATTTCACTGTACGGGCCAGACATGGCCACTGGAAAATGATCGCGTGCTGTGGTTGCAGTTTGCCACTTTCCAATGATCCACGAAATTGGTTCCAAAATTGGTGGTAAAGCTATGGCCAGCTCTGCAATCTCACATGAATACTTTACTCGTTCCATGCTCAAAATCGAAAAATACGGCTTTTGCAGCAGTCATTTGTCTATTGTTTTGTTCATCAAACAAATTTGATTTATTTCGTGTTGCTATTGTCCACTGTGCGATTGGATTGTGTGTTTGTGTTGCAATTGAATCACCGAATCAATGAATGAGGAACGCATTGAAAGAATGAGATAAATGCAACAAAATTGAATCAAGAATCGCAGTTGAATCAGAATCAGAAAATTTAATTTGGAGATTTTGAAAAATGATGCTGCAGAAGAAAGATTTGAAGGATCGTTACAAAAAGCGAACACTCTCTAGATACCAGTAGTGAGTAGTCATGGAAAGCGTGAGTGTGGCACATCACTCATTATCGTAATATCATTTATCATTGCATAGATAAACAAAGTTTTTTTGGCATGCGTTTCTCGCTGAATTCGTACGATTGTATCATAGCGAATGAGCAGAAGTATAACTCACTTTTGCCCGTATTATGACAACGTCCACATGTCTCGGCACAATTGTCCTCAAAAAACGGCAATATCGGTCTAGCCCAATCACAGCGACCTTCGTCTTTCCATCTTGTACAAGACAAATACACGTCTTGACATGGTCCTGAAGATTTTCGCATAACTTTCCCATGGGAATTCATTCTATTTGTTGCGAATGAGCAATTGACTTTGCCGGTTAGCTGAATGATTCAGGAAAAGTTGTGTGATGCATTCTGTCGGAGAAAAATGCACGATTTGAAATCGTCGGGATGGTTCATGTGACATCACGACTCAACTGAGTGACTGAGATCAATACGATGATCGATACGGACAGTAAATTTTCTTGTATCAATTAATTTAACTGCTCAGTGACAATGAGGAGTTAATGATAAGCGATTGGTTCTTTGATTGATGAGATCATGCAATAGATTGATCTAACGATGGTATAATATGATCTAATGAGATTGATTACGTCGTTGAAATTGTTTGATTATAGTTGAAACTAGAAAATTGTTTGACTCAGTCAAATTATTTGAGTTCACTTGAATTTTAAAGATGAATTTCATCCTTATGTCTGATCTAACTATCCTCAAATCAATTGAATTAGAAAGTAAGGAAATTGTAACTTGAATAAGCAAATGACGACTTACTTTTGCACTCAACTCCCATGTATCCCTTTGGACATTTGCAGCGATTTCCAGTTGGTCGTTTCATACAAACGCCTTCGGCTCCACATGAGCCAGCCGTGGTTGGATCACACAGATGTACAACTGCAATTTGTTTGATTCAGCCATTTTTACAAGTACAAATCATTTTTGTCAGATCTGATATGGGTTATCTGATGAGACGGAATGTTTGTACTGTTTGTTGTTTCATCAATTCAAATTAAGACAATCTTTTAAACGATTCATTCATAAAATCTTCGCTCTTTGCGCGAACTTACAGAACTAAAATCCGTAGCAAACAGTATGTGAACGGTCTGCAATCACCAAACTGTGCATGCTCACTCCCATACAGTAGTGTCCACATATCTCTTTGAAGCTAATTATCCCAAGTCTGCACATGCTAATCACTTTCTAACTGTATTCCTACCCAACCATTTCAGATTTTTACGATAGTCTGCAAATAATCCAACTTTCCATTGATTTCTGAATGAATTTTCAGCATTCGATAGTTGTTGCTTAGTGGTAAGATAATCCAAAAAATGTATAGCACTCTTCAGTTCGTCTATTAATATGTGAAGTCGAAGTGCGTACAATTCTTTTCTCTTATCGTCAATGTTGAAATGAGCAG